AGTACCTGTCAGTAATGGCTTTCATAAACTCATCGATCAGGTCGTCATAGCGCTGTGTGCGATCTCTTTTCTGATACAAGCCCAAGTAAAACGGGTCTTTTAAGAGTGCCTGTAAAAAAATATCATTTAATAATCAGTTTAAACATGTTATCTAAAACAAACCAATAAATTAATTAACATAATATTTTTAACTTTAATATCCTTTATTCTTTTAGGGCAGTCTTAGGTTTCCAATCAATTGTACTGTTCCTGTAGGCCTCTCTTCTCACCCCTGTCCCATCATCCCCACGCCTACTCTCTCTCGGTATTAACAACTTGTATTCATGTGGAATATTTATTACAATCAATGGGCCCGTCCTGATGCGTTATTATTAATGAAAAACCCATAGTTAGCATGAAGGTTCTATCTCTGTGTTGCACGGTTCTATGGGTTTTGACAAATCCATTGTGTCAGGTGCTCACACGACAGCATCTTGCAGCTGGGCTTCCCTGTGCACAATGCCCCAGGCAGCACCTCCGCCGGCCTCCCTCTTCTCCAGAGCCTTGCCCTTTCCAGGAGGTCCTGCAGCTGGAGTCATGGGTACGGAGGGTTTTTCAGAGTGGCTTCTTTCACTTCGAAACATGCCTCTGAGAGCCATGCGTCCAGATGTGTCCTAGCTTGTAGCTGACTGCATTTCACTGCGGAGTAATAGTGAATCATCACATGGTTGCACCACAGTTGGTTTCCTATTTGCCTCGTGAGGGGACATCTCAGTTGCTTTCATGTTTTGGCAGTTATGAATAAAGCAGCTTTAAACATTCATATGCAGATTTTTGCATGGACACAATTTTCAGATCAGTTGGGTAGATAACTGGAGTATAATCACTTGATATGTAGTAAGATTATTATGCCTAGCTTCATTAAAACAACAACAAAAACAAAAAAACAACAAAAACCAACAAACCTGCCAAACCATCTTCCACACAATGAGCAGGACCTCCTGTTCCCCCCACATCCTCACCCAGAGGTGGTGGTGTCAGAGCTGGAGGTCAGCCTTTCTAATAGGTGCTTCATTGTTGTTTTAACTATTTAGCATTTTCAATTTACTTATCGTTTTAATTAACAATTCCCTAATGATTTAAAAGGAGCCCTGGCGGTGCTGTCAGGTGTTGGGCTGCTAACTGTAGGCCAGCAGTTCAAATTCACGAGCTGCTCCTTAGGAGAAAGATGAGGCTATTTGCTTCTGTAATGGTTTCCAGTCTTGGAAACCCTGTAAGGGGTTGCTGTGAGTCAGGACTGACTCAGTGGCAGTGGGGTTGGTTTGGAGAACGACATACCAGTCCTGCCAACTGACAACGGCAACTCCCAACAGCAATGACGCAAGCTGTGGAGGCCCGAGATCTTCTTTGGAGAGGTGCTTATTCAGATATCTGTCCATTTTCCCATTGTGGGGTTTCCTTACTGCTGAAATTTAGGAGCTCTATATTTTGGAAACAAGTTCTTAATCAGAGAGTTGCTTTCTGAGTCTGTGGCTCATTCTCTTAACAGGAGAAGTTTCTAATATGAACGAAGTCCAACGTGTCAGTCCTTTATGGGACGTGGTTTTGGGGCTGTCTCCAAAAAGTCATTGTCCCGGTCACCTTTTGTCCCCGTGTCACCGTCTAGAAGTCGCATCATTTCATGCCTCACATTTAGGTCCACGACTGACAAGCCACCCTCAGTTCAGTTTTGTGAGCGATGAGAGCTCCAGGTCTAGACTCGCAGGCTCAATTCACTGTTGTCTGTATGGAATTGGAAGTGGAGTTTAAGGAGACCGTACCGCCCCAGCACAGCATTTACCCTTTGCATGCTCCAGGAGAGGAACCAAAGAACGCGCTGGGAGAGTCGGGGGCAGGGC